CCCCAAAACCCCCAAAACCCCAAAACCCCTTAGGGGTAAACAGTGGTGTATTTGAGGAAACAATTAATGATATCAAAGGTTATATGCAAGTTTGTTTATATTCTCAATTTACGATCAATCATCTTCAATAGCAGGTATGACTTGTCTGCAGCAAGGACACTCTAGTCTAATGACCATCCATTTCTTGAGGCAAGGCTCGTGGAATTTATGATTACAAGGAGTCTTCATATAGTTCTTGGCTTTCTTCATGGTTTACTCTGGATCATTGACAGTAATCATCTAATCATTGACTTGATTTACTTAATATCTCAAAGGATTCATGCATATCACACACTCCTCTACTTAGTTAATCTCCTGAGTTTCAATATCTTGGTTAATTTAAGAATTCTTATTACTGAACTTGAAATAATAATTGTAGGCATTAGGGTTTCTTCGCCATTCAATTGGCACGAAGAATCTTGGATGTCTTAGTTGTTAGTACTTCACAATGTATACTTGAAGCGCTAAAAATGATGCGACAATCAGCAGAAATACATAATTAGTCTGCTTGTCAAATATATTATAGGGACACCCTCTCATGTAGAAAATCAAGAAATTATGTGACAATGTAAGAGTATTCACAAAGTAACTTTCCGGTCCAAACTTAGATCTCAATCTGTAGGATCTGATTATTTATGGAACCCAGAGAGTAGAGTTCAGCAGAATGATGGCATAATTCGTCATTAGGATGTAGTACTTTGCCATGTAAAACACTATTATGAAGAAATCTAAACTTGTTGTTAATGCAATAAAAAGTTACAAAATTTCATGTAGAAAAATATCAGTTTTCTTCTCAAATTTGTCGGTTACTAAATTTAGTATTAATAGAACTAAACCATACTTCAAGTAGACCTATCTGATTTTGCTATTTCCAGCATATAATGAGCAGTCTAAATTCAAAGACAAAACTAATCATGAAGAACCAAAAGGCAGGCAGAGACATATAATGGAAGTACTAAATGTTTCAATAATTTATGCACTACTTACATCTTATTGGAAGGCAAGTTCAAAATGAATTGAAAAGTATATAAAGTTCCATATGATACTAAAAGATAACATTGGTATAGAAAGTGTCTCAGCAACTTAGTGATATTCCATCGCTCTTTTTATCTACCCAAGAATGCTATAAACTAGCATCATGCAAACAGCTGTTATCATAAATGAGTAGTTTGAGACTTTCTCAACTAGTTCCTACACATGTTAAATATTACTTGTCTTACTTCGATAGATTTCTGTTGTAGTTCAAAATGAATTTTATGCACAAAGCACGATTATATTGATTTTTCAGATAAATCCAGGTTAAGAATTATCTTTCTCAGCTTATTTTATTCATGAAGTTCCTCGTCACCGATTTGGCCAGAAAGAGGATTGGTTACTGGGTCGTAATGATCAAAGTTTGCTTCTAATTCTATATCAAACTAACAGTCTAAACAAAAATGTTCATTCTTAATATATTACAATCAGCAGTTAGCATCATATCGTCTCTTCTTTTTATTCTAGTCTATACGTTTTGCATTCTAATAGATCTAATAACAAGGTATTATTAAATTAGAGCAATGCATACCCTTATTAAGTGTCAATGTTAAAATCATTGTAAGCAGTTAAGTTGAATTCTATTATTGCTTCTTTATTTCTGAAATCACCATAAAAGATAGCACCGATTACATGGGCATGGCCTTTCTTGAAAACCTCTTCATTATTTGATATGAATTCCAATTTGAATCTGGACTTTCCTTGCCTTTGTTCGAGTCCATTAAATATCAGAGTAGGATTTTCGATTTAGTCGATGTTCCAATTTCCATCATAGAAGCCAGAGTAATTCCTAAATCTTTCTAATGCTACTGCGAAAGCATGCATACTTAGCTCACTTGTTGGAACAAGTTTGTCGAATGTTCCATTTTAAGCGGAAGTATTCTTATCTAGTGTACCTAATTATATGATTATCTTAAAACTTTACCGTTTTATGCATGAAAGTCGTTTTTATCAATAATGTCTGTTTAATTCTTCTAGCTTTCTGATGAATTTTAACCATTTAACTTTACAATTGGTTATTGTTCTTTATCACCATAATCAAAGTCTTCATCATTAAGCATTCTGTGAATATTTATATTTTCTGGGTAGAATTTAGAGCTGAAAAGTCGACTCGATATGTCTTGGTTCAGGGTACTCAACTTTATATGCAGAAAAATCATACAAGATAAGACGCTCAGAAATAGAGCGACTACCTTTTTAGACATCATTTTAACTTGATTTAATTTAATAATATTATTTAAAATGCTCTTAAAAGATGATCCATTTTATTATACTAACAATAAAACAAAAAAGAACAAACTCTGAAGAAAGTCACCTAATCCAGTGGACAAGGTGCAAGCTCTTTTGATAATGTCTGCAAAGAATGATGAGATCTTCTTTAATAGAGAGCATGTCTCTTAGAAAATAGCTACAGATGAAGTGATTAAGGGAATGAGTGAACTGATATCCCGACGCTTCATCCGCTATGAATAAAATAAGAACTTTAAGACATAGAATCAGAGTAATCTAATGACTTGAACGATGCAAATAAAGTAGATGAGTGTGAACGAAAAGATAAAGTATATGAAGTTTATTAGAGAATACAGAGAATAGCAAGATTAAATAAAGAAATAGCAATTGAAGGAGCAGGTTATTGCCTCTGAACAAGCTAAAATGCTTAGGTCAACCACAAAATTAGGATATAAGAGTCTATACGGGCAGTATACATCTAGAAACTAACCTACTGAAAGTCCTAAGAACAGATACATGAATAAATAGAAGAAGACTAAGACTGAAGAAGAGAAGAACAAGCAAGAATTTATTGACAATGAGTTAAGAAAGAAATAAAAAATAAACCCCAATTTGATAGACTCATTAAATGACTACATTAGGCAGCAATAAAATATGATGGAGTTGAGGGAATATCAGAGAGATAAAGATCATTACAATGTGATGTTCAAAACTGTTGATGAGAATGAAATATTTGGATAGAACCTTAAAGATCATGCTCTTAACAAAAGTAGATTACCAAGGCTGGTTAAACTTAATAAAAACTAATCAAATTCTAACATACTCAATTCAAGCTATATTAGTGATCAAGATGTGAGTAGATTCTTGACTAATGTTGATAGACATACTAAACGCAATGAAAGGAAAAATAAAAGTTTATATAGCTCAATGCGAAGGAGTATGCAAGTGGTTGATTAATAAAATAAAAAAATGCTTGATAAAATTGAAAATGCTTCTGATGATTCGATTGACTTTGAAGAACTGAATTATGATTTCAAAAAATTAAAAGTTTGATTTAACATAGGTATCATTTATTTTGAAATTTCAATGAAGACTGAAAGATCATCTGGATTTTATATTAAAAGAGAGTTTTAGCAAAAAGGTAGTTTTGAATAAAAAGTAGAATAAGATGAAATGAAAGAAAAATTAGAATTAAAAACTGAACAAGAAACATAAAAAACTCAATAATAGCTAGAGGCTAAGTCTACTGCTAAAAGTAACTCATCACTCAGTAAAAGCTGGATAAAGAAACCAAACGGGTAAACATCTCATCCAGGGGCTTATGGAAGTAACTCACATATCCATAATACTGAAGGCACTTATCAATCTAATCATTAAACTTTTCTGAATGAAGAATCTATTGAAAACTATACAGAGGAGATATATGATCCGAATAATAGAGGGAGCTAAAATGGGTTTAGATTTGGAAGTCCAATAAGACCAAATGCTGTATTCTTAATAGAGCGAGTTGAATATAAAGCAGCCAAGTATATGAGACAAATGATGCTATAAAGTATGTTAATATCTAACAATAAAGTCGAAGGAGGTGACAAAGTTCTCTAATAAACTTTGATAAAATAAGAAAGCCCCAGAAAATAAATACTATAAGCGGAATCAATTTTAAATGATGATCCTGATCATCCTCTGAATCTCTTAAAGACGCCATTTGCAGCAAGAATGAATCCTAGAAGAGGCCCAGGTAGACCTCCTAGAATTAATCATGAGAGATTTATAGAATAAAGAGGTTTCAATA